TACACATGATCAGGAATCACACTGTAAAGTTAATTGGGAAATACAGAAAATAAAATAATGCACATGACAGTAGGAAAATAGAAGATTTCTCAACCAACTCCAGACATGAATGGTAATGTAGATATTCATCTTCTTCCAAAAAAAAAACAGAGATCATTATATCATCTTGATCATAATTTGCACTCTATGTGAGAGTAATCTAACTCACTGTTAGATATTCTATCTGTAATAGCACGTCAAGTGAGATACTGATATCAACCTTTCCAAATGAGGTTCAAGAGCATGAGGTCAGTGGTACTTTACAACAGAGAGAAGACCAAACAGGCAGATGGAATGACGAGTTCTGTGGGCTTTGTCTGACGAGTGGTAATGAACCAAATCAGTTGGGAGCTGTGTTCCTCCTTTAGTTCTGGTTTCAATCTTTCTCAAATGATAAACGAACAATGAAATTTGCAGCAGTCTAGACACTACACCTCTCCCAGGTGGAAGCATACAGACAGCGTCCAAACTCCTAACTGCTACTGCTGGTCCTCAATTTTCAATGAGACTAGTTCACTCGCTTGATGTTGCCCCCTGGACTTAAAATTCTTTGGCAAGAATCGTTGAAATCTTTCTGGTAACCTGGAAACGTGCATCTCCAACCATCAATTTCAAAATAGATTTATTGTGAAATAAAATGGTCACAAATAAAAAATGGAAACAATAACCAATAGGCAAGATGTAATCACTTTTGGTCATAAGAAGGCAGATGAAAAACATTAAACAGTGATAATAATGAACCAAAGTTAAATTAGAAGAATTGCTATTAAAGAATGTATGGAACACTGGGTGACAAAAGACAGGCTACAAAATCTCTATGGAAATTTAGGTTCTACCCACATATTCAAACCAGAAAAGCAAACATGCCAGACAAAAGTTCACTTGGACGTTAACAGTCATATTTACTTCAGTAGTAGAACCATTATCAAACCCATTTCAAAGAGTTTAGTGGACATATAAAGCTGTCAAAAATCAGCCACGGCACAGGAGAAAATAGAGGCACATGTTTGGAAGCCCAAAAGACAGTAAACATAGCAGCAATTGATGAGATGAGGCATAAGAGAGCACCAATGTCTGTGACAAGCTGTTGCTTTCAACCTACCCACGGGAACTTAACAGTAGCATCAAGAGACTATATCCAAAACCTATCAAATTCAAGAAGGGGATGGTTTGAGTAGTACATGCGTTGATGTTTTTTTTTTAATCATGTTCGAATAAATTGTCTAGACAATATTCATAAGAAAGAATTTAAAGACATGCCAGTAGACAATTTAGAAGTTCTTCATATCTAATAAAGATTCAGCATCCATGACTTACAGATCTAATCTTTCAAAAATTGCCCGCCGCACCGAGGAGTTAAGGCCATATGCTATTGAGTTGAACAGGCCCTAAATCAAGATTAGAACAACAATCAAGCTAGTTTAAAATATAAGCATATTCCCCACACACGCATGCACATGCATATAAAGAAATATCAGGTTATGTTTAGAAGGTGAACACGCCAATCTATTCGATCAATGATGGCACGCTTTCTCTTCACATGACATGAATTTCCATCGTTAGATTTCTGTACATCTTGAACATCTGTAGGTCCCATCACAGTTGTGTTGATCATACGCTTAGATCTGATCATCCATCATTTTGTCAAAGATGCTTCTTTTCCAAACTGTATGCCAGATGCTTTCTTGGTACGCAATATGTGCAAAAAATATGTATATCTCTCCACAAACCAGGTTATGTTTAGAGGGTGAACAAGCCAATTAGGTTCAATCAATGATACACTTTCTCACTAAGTCTGTCTGCATGGAGTTGTGCGGACAATTGTTCTACTTCAAAGGTTAAAATAATGTAGTGGTCCCTAAGTTATGTAATCTGTCTCACTTTGCTCCTTTTTTTATTTCATTACTCTAGTCCTAAAATTCCAATTTGACTCTACATGGTCCGATCCAAAACACTTGTTTAAGATCGTTAACGAAAGTGGCCACATGTCCAACCACCTGATACACACATGACCACTTTTGTTAGCGATTTTAAATCACCACTTTCGATTGGATCATTGAGAATCAAATTGAAAAATTTAGGAATTAAAGTTGCATAATTCAAAGAATGTGGACCAAAGTGAGACCAAGCACACATTCTGAGAGCCATTACTGTGTTTTGCCCTACTTCAAAATAAACAACCATTTTGTATTCGATCATAAGCTCATAACTAATCATCAATTAGCCATCAGTTTGCCAAAGACCATCTTCTCAGAACTGCAAACCAGCTACTTTCTAGACACACAACTTGACAAAAAAATAAAGAGCAATCTTCCAAATAACTCAATGAATACTGAAACTGAAGCACTGCCTACTTATACGCAAGGAACTAAATTTCATTTCACAACGTCCAAAACATTTATGTTTCCATGGAACCCGAAACGAATAGTGATTAAATGTGTCGGTATGTTTTGGTCAACAAACTCGAAATAAATTTCCAAACTTTTTCTTGGTTTCCATCCCTTTTCCAAAATGTTTCCAAAACATTCCCATTTGCGTTTCTAAACTGACCAGAACAATACACTGAACGAAATTTTGATCTTTGCTTATATGTGCACGCAATATGCACAAAGGCATGATCTGAACATGGAGAACTAAGTTGCCAATGGTGGAGCAAGCATTCACCGAAAAAAAAAACCATATGTATAGAGTGTTTGTCTGTGGCTGCAGTTGTTACCATTAGTGCAGCCATCCCAACATCAAGAATGGAAAGCCAAAATATTTTATGGCCTGGTACAATGAAATCATGGATGCGGTTGATCGTGCCAAAAGTCCAAGCCCCTATGAGGATGAGTGGATAGTAACCCCACCGGTTCACAGCCTGTAAAAGGAATAACCACAATTAAAAAAATCCTATAGGCAAAGCTAATGGGCTTCTTCTCACTTAACACCAAGCTAAAAATTCCACAATTGAGATGACAAAACAGACTTGCCTTTTATTCAAATGAAACATGCAATTGCAACAGAATTTTTTTCTCCACCCCACGCGGGCAGGCGGGCCCCGGGGGGGGAGAATGTCAGTGAATTTTTTGAATTTTGAAATGAAAAGAAAATTCATAATTTTGCACATCAGAAGCTTATGGAATCCCATTTCCTTGACAGACTAAGTGACTAGAGTTTTTTCCTGACACATAACTTGACAGACTTTTATTTTTAGTCAGTTCTGAAGGAGTAATACCACTAATAATTGGTGCAGAAAAAAAAATTACTTGGAACATAATTTTGTGGAATTTCAATTTTTTTGAAAGTGGTGTGATTGTTGGAGATAGATGATGAGATTGAAACCCTGGCACCCACTCCTTGATAGTCCATCTATACCATAAAACCAGCACATGATATTTTAGAAAGGAAATTTTGCAAACCAAAGCCTGAATTACATAGGCAAGTTCAATGTGCTGTTTAACGTATACACTTCATTACTTCGCATTTTATCAATTGCATTACAGGTATATTAAGTACAGTGCACACCAATAAAATGAAGCCATTTTTCACAAGGACCAATAAAATGAAACCACCTGAAGGGAAAACAAGTCAGCAACCTGAGTGACTGCATTATATTCTTTCAGGAGGGTCCTTAGAGAAACGGAGTAATCAATTCAGAAAGTTGGTTCAGAAGAAAAATCCAAGAGATGAAACGAAATCAAGATTTTGATCAAGACATCAGGTCATGAGTTACAAATCAGGCTGCTATGCTGATTTTCTTCCAGAGAGCAATGTCCAAAACTGTGGGTGGAGACAAATAGCAGTGGATATAATAGCTTTTAAACAAACAGAAAGAACAGAAACATCAGACCTTCATGTCTGGCCGTGCATCTGGTTGGTATACTCGGTCTGACATACCTACTGCCATCTGAAACATCCAAGATTTCATTAGTATAACAGGCCTAATCTTTCTTGGAATGCAAAGAACTGAAACATACTATTCCAACAAACATCAAGAGATGTATAAGAGGAATGACACATACACGGGTTGCATTGTTTAGCATGCGTATCACTTGAAAGTAAGTGACGCCGTTAAAGATAATTGCCCCCCACAGTGGTGCATAAAACGTTATAAAGTGAACCACCTGTAAAAACACAGTAAACTATGATCAGCTTAATCAAAAGGAGGTCGATCACATTATAAATTAAACTTAAAGATCATAACCCACCTCACAAAAATATATTCCTAAACACATAGGCATTTTCTTAATATGTAAGAATATAGCTAGGAATTATACAAAAACAATCAAAACCCAAAATTCCTATAGCCAAGACTACCCAATACTTGCCGTTCCTTTACGTCCTGCTTGGGCAAAACACCATGCACCTAAACGAACAATATGCCCATGTTCATTACCAATAGAGCGTATGACAGTCATAACAAGTGAAGTACCTGTAAGGGTAATTGAACACTAAAGTAAGCTTCATGACAATGCTATATGAAAAATGGAAAGAGATTAAATGAAAACCTGAAATCGCAAGCAAGGGCCACTTCAGAAATGACAAGTGCAATAATGCAAGAGGCAGAGTATACGAAACCAGTCTTAGAAAAATTAGAGATCCTTTACAATAATCGAATGCATACCCCAAACATACAAGTGAAACATGGGCTCCAAATCCTCAACATCTGTTTTGTGTCTAACAACAGTGCGATGAAGGGTAAAAGCAATTGTAGTAGTCCAAAGAAACGAAGCCACACAAAAGAAATGTGTGATGTAGCCCTGAGCATAACAAAAGAAACCTTTTGATGGATCCCTGCATAACCAAAGGGATCATTAGCAATCTTAAGTGTCCATAACAAAGAAGTGGCAAAGAAGCTGATTTCACTTGAATCCAATATGCATACCCAACTATGCTGAAGAAACTGCAAAGCATGTCCTGCACTCAAAAAATCAAAATAATTAAGCCATATAGCAAGCACATTTAAAGATTAGGTGGACAGCTAAAATTAGAAAAATTACCACAAATTAGAACAAAAAATTGTGATGTAAAAACATTACTCTTTGAATATTCTGCAAGGCAAATGCACATCTACAAAAAGGAGCAGCCTAGTCCTAGTGCAAAAGACTACTGCCACGACGAGTGGATTAGATGTACATGGCCCAAGCCATTAAGCGGAGAGGCCATTTCCATGACTCAACTACATGACACCTAGGCCATAATGAAACAACCTTACTGTTTTGCAAAGACTCACCCTTTAAAGCCAACATGTGTCTCCAATATCTAATTATCAATAATCAAGGGCATATATTTGCATCACCAAAAAGGCAGTGAGCGTCTTACTCGTTGACTTGTAAATCCAATCAGATTCGATAGAAATTCATGGACCAGGGCCACTTCAGAGGTAACTACTTAGGTATAAAACCATACTTGCTGAACTGCTCATATGGAAATGTTTGGAGAAAAGAGGCTAAGACGAGAATTCAAATGTCCATACAGGCCATGGAGATCTGTGTATAACCTAGTGAAGCACGTCAAGTTAAGCATAAGGGGTCCCCAGAATAGGAGGCCTCTGGGAAGACCATCCCTAAAGCATGCCTGAGGGTCAAAGAGAACAATCTCTGGCCAGTCCCAACAGCAGGAGGGCTGATAAGAATATACAAAGACATTCACAAAGTAATATACAATCGACCAAATTCTTCATCTTCAAAGAATTTTTTACTTTCCTGTACAATATCATGACGTCCATCTAAAGTATCTAACCCAAGTTGGATAGGTGCATTTGTTTTGCAAAACAAACTTTTTGAATTGTGTAGTTGATTGGGCAGATATCTTGAAACAGTGATCTATGTATTCTGCTGTAAACTTCTCTTTCTAAAAGAGTTCCTCTGGGCCAAGCAATCTGTCACAAGCATAGGCAGCTTGCGAGAACTGATAGATCCTCAACTGTGGGGGTAAACTTCCCATGCTGCAGCCTGCAACACATGCATGTCGTGTCTTGCTAGAATGCGCTACTGTTGATGTGCTTTACCTGAAGCCTTTGACAAGGTTGAGTCACCAAAAGGATTATTTCATCAGTTAAGAATAGCAGGAATTAAGGTTAGGGGATAGCATATTTTAACCACCCCACCCAACCAAAGGTAAGAGAAGAACTAGACTATAAATCTTTAAAGGAATAAAGAGTGCCACTTGCTATACACGAAGCCAAGCAATTGATTCCTGAGCCACGTAGTTGACATCGTCAAGAGGAAGAACATGCTTGAGGACTAAAGCATGGGATAAAAGATCTACATCCACATTGACTCTTGAACAAGCTTCCGAAAACAATCTTCAAAATTGCTGAGGTCCGCCACTCTATACCATTGGCATTTTAATGGAATGGTAAACCCACACAAAGCACGAACTTTGGCCACCAAACAAGAAGAAAAGAGAAAGCAGGGGAAAAAAAAGCAAATGGGAGAGAATAGAAAGAATCAATAAAATGATCACAAAGCTTTATAGAAAGGAGGGAGACAACAGAAGAATAAACAAGTGAACTGAAAGAAAAGGTGATACTTGGGAAGAGGAAATTACGGGGGCAGGAAATTCGATATTCAAAAATCGAGCAATACCCCTAATGACATGGACATGCGGTGAGATGAGTGTCTCCATTACCCGGCTGTTATCAAGGGCACCACAAAAGGTGGGAAAAGTCATGCGTTGACACATAGCAATGCCAGACTATCCTATCACAGAGAAGTCGGTGAATTAGATATGTCATCACATTAATATGACACATGGCATTGGAGAGTCCCTTCAATAAACTTACAGGGCCAAGTTGAGCTTGACAAGAATAACACATAAGAATGTAAGGGAAAGATAACCACACCCTCTACACATTCACATGGCTCGGCCAGCTACCTCAAGCAATGTTGCAGTACAAAATGATGAAACGTGACTCTGAAAATAGTTTTAAGTGCAACCTATAAAAAGGGAACAAAGACATTGACATTTAGTTTTGGTCTAATGGTCTCATCCCATGGCAGAGCTTTTTAAGGCCTAAGGTGCTTGTGGCGTACTGCAACGCATCCATAAAACATACAATAGATTTGCTAGAGATTTTGACTCAGGGTTTCAAGATCTCCAGAGTAAGAGGAAAGATACCCAAATCAACCCATCATAATCCTTGGCAAATAGGTGATAGGTCTCAAAATTTGTGGATTTGGATACCCAGGCCTAATTACGTTGCTCAAAACCACTCGAGCTACCAAAGTGATGAGGGACAACCAGATTTGGTGTAGGGGGCTTCCACACCTTAGATCAACTCCAAGAGGCTAGCTAAAATCCCCTTTTTAATTATTTTAGATAACTTCTTTCTGAAATGTCTCTAACAAACTAGCTATTTCCCCTCTCTATTTTCTATAACCTCATTTTCACTAGCTACATCTAGCTAGCCACTTCTAACTAGCTACATCTAACAAAACCCCCCAAAAATCTAATAAACTCCCCTCAAAAATCTAGCAACTCCCCCAAAAAATTCAACAAAACCCCCCAAAAATCCAGTAAACTTCCTCCCAAAAATTTGACTTCGGTTATTTGTGTAATTTAAGGTGATTTTGTTTTGCATTTTGTGATTTAATTTGAGAGAATTTAATTTGGTTGTAGTAATTTTCGGGAGATGGGTTCTCTTTTGTAGCCTATAATTGATTAAATTTGTACAATATATAATTGAATTACTATTTTTTGAATCTTATTGTTGAAAGTTAGTTAAAATTAATTGAAGTGGTTAGCTAAAATAGATAGCGTTGTTGGAATAAATTTGAAAAAGTGGTTAGCTAAAGTAGATAATACAATATTTAAATATATTTTGAGTAACTATTTTAGATAGCATTGTTGAAGATGCTCTTAAGGGGATAATGAATGGCTAAAAAGGAAATAGTAGACGTAACCTTTTTTTTCTAAAACAACGGAAAATATACCTACCATAAAAGTTCTGCAGCCTGTAGATAAATCATCTGCCACACTTCTTTTCCCAGTATTTTTACATGGATAAACAAATTTACATGAATTGTGAAATTGAGATATAGTGCCAACTGATGTACAGCTATGTTTATCGAAAAAGAGGTACTAACATCGATATCAACATCATTGATGTAAAATATGTTAAAATCAATGAGTAGTGATATAAGCTCCACATTCTCAAATTTAATAGAAACTAGCCACAAATAGAAGAAGAAATCAACTCTAATAGCTTCTTCTTGTTTCCTATGGGGTGAAAGCAATTAAAGTGCTCTCCTGCAGCTGTTCAATGACAAATGTTGTTGTAATATAGCGTTTCAATGGCAAGTGATATGTGCATATTTGCAAATGCACAGAGGACTAAACACATTCAGTTGATTCAAAGTTCCATTATCCTTGCAGTTATCATATTACGGCTACTCTTGTATTTCTTTATAATTGTCTTCACTCATGGATTAGTTATTGGAAAATTGGGCTGAGAGATCACTTTAAGTAACAGAATAGAGTTAGGTAACATTCCTTTGCTTTACTATGATTTACATCCAATGTCGATGCTCAAGCCTAAATATGATGCCAGTAGACTACCGAAAGGAAGAATGAACTTGAGAATCATAAAACAGATTGCAACTAAATATAAATTTAACAAGATTCAAGACGTCAGCACACTAATCACACCGTACATTCTTAGGAATTTAAGAACAATTTACCCCAAAAATAAAAAGTTCAATGTGACATAGAGAGAAAGGGGGGGGAGAGAGGGGCTTACGGAGAGGGCGAGGAAGAAGACGAGTTTGAAGGAGAACTTGCGGAGTTCCTTAAACAGTAGGTAGCACATCACTATAAATCCCGAGCCCAAGAACGAAAGACTCGATGCCGAGGCATTAACCGCTGTCAGAATCCGGCGATCGGCGGCCGTCAAATTCCCTAGAACCGCCTGCACCGTCGCCATTTCTATACTAGTTCTTCAGTGACGAACCACCTGGGCTTCCTCTTTGTTTGCTTGATACGAAAAATGGCTGCCTAATCCACTTTACTGGTTTTATGAGCTTTTGAACTCCAAGAACACCATTAGAGTGCACAGCATTCCCTTTTTTTGTGTAGCTTAAGATTTCTGATTTTGATTTTAGAATTCGCTTTCTCTGCAATTTATTTTTCGGGGAAATGATTTGAGTCGTCGTCTTGGCCGAGTGGTTAACTAGTGTCAATAAGAACAAAAGGGTTTCACCCGCTAGGGTTCAAATCTCGCGAGGAGTAATGGAATATGCCAACGTGCAACGAAAATCTATTTGGTTGAATTGTTTTTTGTTGGGCAAGTCTTTGGTTGATATTTTCATGGGAGCAAACAACATTTTGCACCTTAAAATCTTGAAAATGTTAATTAAATATTCTTAAAATATTAAAACTCTCTTATTATACTCTCAATCATCTAAAAATTAATAATATGATCCATTAATAAACTTATATTGCTTTGTTCGATTATCATTTTAACTGTGTTTTTACATGTTTTCTATTTGTGCAAACAATCATGTTTACATTAAAATAAAAAGCCTTGCTATAATTTTTATGTAATTGAAAGTGGAATGTGAAAATTGTAAATAGGAGAGTTCAAATTTTGGACTGTCCATAAATTTTGTTAAATCTTTTTAAAAAGTTAGCATATGTGAAAAATATTTTTTTTTTAATTTTATCCTCTAACATTTTAATTATGTCATTCATATCCTCTTCTCTCTTTCTCTCTATATTTCGTCTATCACATTCACATAGTTGTTACACTTTCTCCCTCTCTCCTATTTTTTCTCTCCGGCAAATTAACAGTCGCTTCTCTTCATCTTCTTTCTCTGTGTCTCTATCTCTTTCTCCCTGTTTCCTTTCTCAAATTCACTACCTTGGGATTTACTTCTCAGTCGTTACACTCTCTTCCTCTCTCCTACTTTCTCTCCCTTTTTTCTCTCTCTGTGTCTCCTGCAAATTCACAGCCCACCTCTTCAGCTTCTCTATCTGTCTCTCTATCCCTTTATGCCCTGCGTTTTCACATATCAGAGAAGAGCACACCACCTCCTTCACCGATCAGAGAAAAATGCGAGAGAAAATTAGCTGAAGCATTCGAGATGAACAAAAAATTAAATGGCAGGGTGAGTGAGGAAGACCTCAGATGTTTGAGGAGAAAACTTGATAAAGATCAAAATCTGGAGTCCCCCAACCTTAAAAGGCAAAAACAAATGTTGATTGGTTGAGGCCAAAATCGCTGGCAAGGCTGGCAGGGTATTGAGCACAGATCACATCAGTAGGTTACACATCAAGCCTTAGATGCTAAACTTAAGGTAAAAGTAATCTTCGAAGTCGTTTTCCCTGAATGGTTTTCATATGTTATATTGTTATTAGCATAGTGATATGCTTTTGTTTGGACATTGATTGTAAGATAATAAGAAGTTAAACTGTTGTTCAATAGAACCATGCCTCCGTATCTGGAATTGTGGTGTTCTCTCCTGTGAGTCATACACTCTTCAATCCTGCAGACATCATACAGAGGTAAGTGTGGTATGATTGAATTTGCACGTGGGTCACTTGGAGATACTTTTGTTTCTGCAATTGATAAATTATAATTGGTTAGAGTTATTTGTTTGCATTTCAAGCTTTCTTCTATAATAACAATGGGAGTTAATATGCTCTTCTGCTATAATAAATGTCCCAAAAGAATGGAGGAAAGCCGCCCTTGAGTTATTAGTCATTTTTGAAACTTGTTGGGCAACCCTCTTGGGCAACATCCCCCCTTTCAAGCACGCTCTTGGCTTCCTCCTTTTGGAGAAGTTGGAAATTGTGAGATTTCAGAAGTTCCAACCATTAAGGAACTTGGCTATGAAGACATTGGGGAGGTATGTGTTACTATTTTTAAGGCAAGTCCTTTTGATCGAATTCCTCTTGACAAAATTAGTCAGCAGGATAACTCGACTCTTTTTAGAGGCGGTGAATCAGAAGCACTAAGGAGAACCATTAGGGCTTAAGGGGAAATAGAGCAAAAATCAATTGCTTGTTAGTGATGTGGCTGACATCAATTTCTGGTAGTTCTGTCCAGTGCACAGCTTCCGTGTACGACCCAAAAAAAAAATTTGGTAGTAGCCTTGATAACAGTTTTGCAATCTTGTCATGACAATAATATGAGGTTCTGTTGTTATGATGCATTTACTTGATTTTGAACTCATCTGTATTTCTATACATGATTAGCAGCCTTGATAACAATTCTTCAATCTTATTTCTTTTTTTTTTCTGTACCAATTATTTTCATATGTTTATGTAGTCCTATTCATCTACATTTCGTTTTTCTATCGGTTGGCATCATTCACACTGGTAGTACATACTTCACTTTATGTTCCTTATAGCTATATTAATATTCAATCATCAATGTTTGAACTTCTAAATTGAATTACTTAAATATCTATGACAGCTTTGGAAGTCCTACAACCTGAATTTGGACAAGTTCTGGACATCAACCTTTCACCTTGGATAGGATATTATCCCATAGGTTTTTGCTTTGCTTATGTTTCTATCCTTTTTTTTTTTGCTTGTTGCTTATTTTTTATTCACATATAAGTGCAAGTTTCAACTATTTGCCATAAAAAAGACTGATCGAGTTTACCAAAGGCCTTCAATCGCCTGGTTTGGGAATGACCATTAATTAGACTTTAGATCAATATACATTTTCACAAGAAAAAGACATGATCCTGTATTTTCCCAAGATTTTATCGAACTTTTTTGTGATAAGTCGTACTTGAACTTAATTCCTTGACCAATATGGTGACTTAATTCTCTAATCTCATTGGATTAGCAATGGATCACAATATTAAATTGAGTTTATGGTCAATTCAATGATCACTATAGCTAGATTAAGTCAACACACACACACACACACATATATATATATTGGATCAGGTGTGTAATGCTAATGAGCTCTGAGAAATTCAATTGTTAACCAGTTTAACCATGTAAATTCTTACTTGGTCCTACTTAGTTACCTCGTCACCAGTGAATATTTTGCTATTTTTTAGTGGGTATTATTTCTGTTTTTGTTTTCTTATGTGTTCTTTAAACTTGAGTAGATTATTTACCTTTGAATTGAAATAAGAAGTACGATAATCGAAACCAATTATTAGAGTTGATGCATGCATTATTGTGACAAATTGAAGTATATATGTTAGCAGGGAATGCCTCCTTTCTAACTGCACAGCTCAGAGAACGAGCTCTTCTTGAACTGTTTTTGTCCCAGTTCACTCCATGATTATGAACCCTTTAAATGTCATGTTACCAACCATTCTTCTATAGTCAACGAATATCTAGGCAAGATTCAAATAATCAGGTAACATGTTCTCTATTTTTCCATTTCCAATTTTCACTTTTTCAGGTAACAGGTTTATTATATATGTTATCAACGGCCCAGTGGTAGACCTTGCGACTTATTAAAAGCAAGGTGAGATAGAATTTAATTAAAGGTTACCATGAAGAAGTTAATGTTTGATGTTGTGGTATTTTGATGTAGAATTTTAGTGCTTATTTTTTGGACTAATATCATTGGTTTGCATAATTGACTTAAAATTCTTTTGATACTGGTTAGAACTTGATAGAGTCAAGCTTTTTTTTCAATATCTAACTGCAATACTATAAAGGTGCTATCTGAAAATTCTCCAAATGACAAGATTCCTACAAGCACAATAGCTCAAGCAGCTCCTCTATGTTACTAGAGACAATGGCATTCCCAGAAGGGTTGCTGAAATTGTTTTGGTTGGTAACAATTCCCTCCCACTTAGGGATGGGACCCATAATCAACTCATGGATATTGGTTCTATTTTTGTATATTGACTTTTCTAGCAAATTTCACTGAAAACCCTCCTCTAATCATAGTTATCTCTTACTTTCACTCTTTTTAATATCTTTCTCCCAAAGTGTCTCTTTTTTCAATATTCATTGTACTACCAAACCCATTGAGTCTCCTTTGCATTTTTCTATTAAAATAATTTTCATTAAGGAGGTTTCTGCTTTTTGTTCCTACCTATGGATGTAATACTATGGTCATACATTACTTTAAGTGAATTTTGTTGCTTTGCTATTTTATTTATCTTTTGCTTTTATTTATCATTGGTCATGTCAATGAAAAGTAGCAAAGAACTATAATTGATGCTCATAATGCAATTTCTAAACTCTGCCAGTCGATGTCTCTTTGTTGATCTCTTTGTTTTTTATCATTCTAAATTTATGTTGTTGACCCTTTGGATAAGAGAGGATTGTAAACCAAAGGCAGAGTTTTAGGTTGTATATTCTAAATGAAAACTTTCATCAACTCACTTACTTCTGTTGGGGACATTGTTTTTAGTTTAACTACTAAATTTTTTTCCAAACCATCATTAGAGATTTACTTATGCTTAACAGTGTCATTTTTGTGTTTGCATCAAAACGTCAATAAAACTAAGAGTCTTAATCTCATTTATTTTATTTGTTTTGTCTTGCCATTAAACAAAAATTGTCACTGGGTAGTGTCATAGAACTTTTCATGAACAAACTACATGAGAAAAAAGGTAACCATCTTCAATGGAGGATAATTTCAATGGATCAAAATCATAGTGATTTCTTATACATCAAAACCTTTAACATACATATTTTTGGTGTTGCCATCCATAAGTAAGCATTGTCAATAATAATTTCAATCAACTACAGTTCATAATCAACGTACGTGTGCACCTACTAGTATAAGTAAAAGTGTTTGAAGCAACAACTTGGAGTTTATTGAATGAAAGTGGTGGCTACATATAGCCTTACAACTGGGAAAGGAAAACTGCTCACGTTCAGTTCTAACTGATGTGAGTAATACATGCAAAAAAAGAGTCAAACTCCTAAACCTACTCCCAAATACGAGGGACTTATTAACAGAACCAAATGACTAAGTCAAATACCATAACAAACTTCAACATTTCCTTCCTTAAACTGATTACATACACAAATAAGTTTAGAGCAGGGTTTTTGCATACTCCCATCATGCTGCGCGGCTTCTCAAAAGAATCCAGCTTAAGAGATTTTGTTAAAATATTAGTAATTTGCTCTTGAGATCCACAATGTATTAACTTCACTACTCATCACGTCTATATGCTTACTCCGACCATGCAAAACTAGATTTTTTGAA